CCGCACCCTCTGGGGTTCATTACAATAGGAAAGTATCCATTCTTCAGCGCATCCAACACGAACACCTTGATGCTGCTCTCCATGCTCCCCTCGTGCGTGCCAGGCACTATAAGCACCGTGGAATCCAGCCCATGCTCTTTGTCCAAGTCCAAATTATCAGGCCAATCGAGTGCGATCACCCCACCGTCCTCCAGGGCGATGCAAATCCTCTGGTACGAGATATCGCAGGCACCGTCCCCGCCGCGCACCACGGGGACGCAGCCCCTGCTCAGGTTCACGTAGTGCCGCTCCTCGGTGAGCAGGCGCTCGTTGACGCCGTCCAGCAGGACGCCGCCGTCCTCGAAGGACACGGACGGGCAACGCAGCAGCACGCAGCGGTTGAATGGCGTCGGGCTGGTGAAGAGAACCCACTCGCCCGCGACATCCCCGCACACGTCGTAGTCCTCGGGTTCCTGGGACGGCGGCGGGAGGCTGGTCTGGGACGAGGAGGAGGACCAGGAGGACAAGGAGGCCGCGACCGCGGCCGCGGCCGCGACCGCGGCGGGGCCTACGAGCGCGAGGGAGGAGGGGAGGCTGGCGAGGAGGTCCGAGAGAGAGGCGCGGGGGACGGCGAGGCGGTACGGGCGGTGGTGGTGGCGCCTCCGGAGGACGAGGAGGAACGGGGTGGGGGGTGCGGGCGCGGCGCCCCGGCGAGGGAGATGCGACGGAGGAGGGGGGCGGGAGGCGAGTTGCATCAGCGGCGGCTGTGGCGAGACGCCACGGGGACAAGCCTTGGGAGTGGGAACGCGGGCGGCGCGAGGGAAGCCGGTAGCGGTGGTGTGGTGGAGGAAGACGCGGAGGGGATCGGGGAATGGGAAAAAAGGGGCAAACGCGACGTCGACGGGGACGAACGAAGGCTCGCGGCTTTTCGAGCGTTAAAGCTCCCGCAGTTTGTTTTTGTGGCAAATATCGGGCCCACGGATTCGCTCACCGACCGGTGGGGTCCAGCACGTTGCGTGGAATGCCTGACTGCGGGTCCACGAAACCGCGAGAACGCGAAGTGCACGGCGCCGGTGGCCTGGGACTGGGAGGTGAGATGAGGTGGTGAAGGCAACAGGTAGCTCTGAGAGCTTGGGCCGCCTCCTCGTGGCGCCGCTCGTCGCCGGCCATGCACGACAAGGGGGAAGAAACACGTGAGCTCAAATAACAAAATTGGCTCCTGTCATGCTAGCACTGGTCCTCCTAACTTCTCCCATGCGGCCATGCTGAGTGGAAGGCACACTGAAGAGTGAAGACTGAAGTCAACAGATGTGAGTTAATGAAGCTATAGATTTTGCAAAAAAACAATATGCTCCCTTTGTATTTTATTACAAACTGTAGATTTTTTTTTGTTGTAAATCAAATTTCTCTAATTTAATTCAAGTTATAAAAACAAACCAACACATGCAACATTAAATTAGTCCCACTGGATCCAAAAAAAATTATGTTGAAATTGTGTTGTCCACAATCAAGTTTGGCCCGAGAGATCGCTCCCACCTTCACCAATCTGTGCTCCGTGTGGATCCACCATCTCCGGCACTGCACATGTTGAAGTCATAGCGTAGTTTGGCCTTATAAAGAGATAGGCTCGAGTCAGGTGTCATTATTGCCTTGCATATGACTCAGGTCGTTATCATTGCCTTGCACGTGACCAACATGTCAACTCATGTCGAGACTTTTATTTTGCATTCGATGTCGTTGTCCTACGCATCATGAGAGGGATTGTCTCGTCAGATGCATATCTTCATTCCCATGAGCTCACTCCTCTTTCGTGCAACCTCAACCTCAACGCCCTTAGCAAACTCAAAGTTGAGCTAACATCGTGGCCGTGTCTCCACCAAACAGCACTATGGTAGGGTCTTCATCGCAAAGATCTTTGTAATATGTCATCGGCATCATGACCTATCGGTGTGCGTGACAATAACACCAACATTGTTTGTCTACACTGTTGTTGTGCCTCTCCTCTACTTCAATGACTTTCAACATCCAATCCATGCTCGCACCTTTGGTGGATTCCTTGCAATCAGAGCTCTAGAAAGTTCATTTGGATGAAGTGATGCGCCACCTCAAGCAGACGGCTTCTACCATTAAGTTGTGGCTAGCACATATGGCTACACATTTGGAGTGCGTAGAGCCTCGTGGAGAACATACCATGATGGTTGAGCTTTTTGGCCCATGTTCTTCTGTTTAGCTCTCTCTGACAATTTCGGTCTCCGATTCTCTTCTAGCTTGCACGTCTACTGACTCTTTGGTGTGTGAGGATACACGTGCGAACACCATAGACTCTATTGTAAATGGCATGTAAACTAGGATTTTTTGTTGCGGATATTCATGGAGAGACAGACTTATCTCCAATGAGGTGGCTATAAAGATGTGTGACACATAGATCCACCAAAAGACACCCTTAGAGTAGGCCATCCAGGCGTCCTCAGGGACTGCCACTGTTCCAATGATAGATCATATGTTGCTACAGGTCTTCACCTCAGTCAAGGATGTGGTTCTTGTGCAGGATGCATCTGATGATGAGGAAACTATCTTAGATACATGCGTGATATATAGTTCATCAAGGATCCTATCTTGCTTATCACCATTCAAGTTGACCCTTTCCTTTCTATGCCTAAGGTCAAGGCAAATGAGCTCCAGCTAGTAGAGGATCCAACAGTAAAGGCAACATCTTATTTGTCCACCGTAGCTAGAATGGGTAAGGACCATGCATCCCCTCCTATTCTTCCTCCTTCATCAACAACCATGACAGCAAGGTGTCAGCGTAATTCCTATGATAGATCATCACTTCATAGAAGCGCTCGCCCGGCTCGGTGCAATGTTTTAAAAGATTTGGGTGTTGTTGAGAATCATGAAAAACTCAACGAGGATGTAATTCGAGACTATACAGACCACCTCTAGGAATTGTTACTGTCACAACCCAAAAGTCGCCCAAATAAAACTTTGTTGAACACTCTTGAGCCAGAGTTGAGCTTTTTGTCTTAAGCCCTTGAGCCATAATCCAAGTGCAACCCAGAGGAAGCCTTCCAGGTCCCAAAGTTTGGATAGGATGTGACCCCTAGCCGCCTAATCTTATGAGGCATCTTTATTGACCCCTACCCTAGCGGCTGCCCATAGTGTTTAACATCAATATCTTCAAGACTAATGCTCAGGCTCTAAGTGTGGGAACCCTAAATGGAACCCTGTCAAACTCAAGGTGATCAACTACCCACAAATCCAAGTTGTCGAGAATGGGAATCTCACTAACAACTCTCACCAAAGTCAGGGAAAACAAAGCACATGATGGATTAAACTTAGAACAAGCTGCCAAATGCCTCACCAAGGATCACAAGATGTGTCATGAAAGGGGCATCACCAAGTCGATCTATCCAAGAAACTCGACAATCGGGATCTTATGTGTTTCAACGGACTATCGCTGATCTCCCCACAGACTGTTCGATAGTCATCAGTCAACCATGTTGACCAGTCAGAGTCAATGAGACCCCAATGGACTGTCCGTCAAGACACCAATGACTCTGCAACATGCAAATGTTGTGTTGTCCTCCTCTCACCCTCCTTGGAACCACTTATCAACACGTGAGAGAATCCCAAGTCACTATGACCAACCCCTCTCACCCATCGCACCGCTCTCCTCTCCTCCCTCTCTATAGCCAAGAAAGAGCAAGAAAGGAGATCAGACCATGATCAAGGAATGGATAGAGGATTTGGAGAAGTGTTCATGCTTAAAAAGAGATGAATATGAAGTTCAATAAATCAACTCAAGCTAGGAGATCTCAACTATAAGCTCGTGATCTGTGTCAAACTCTCTCCTATGTTCATCCCCAAATCCATGTCCCATGTGTCCTTGCAAGAAGAAGTCTTTCTCTCAAGTGATCCTCCCATCATGTTCAATCTTGGAGATCTCTGTCTAGGGTGTGGGGACTCCATGATAGATGAGCTTGAGCTAGGTGATCACAAGATCTAAGTCACCATGGGTAAGTTCTTCATCAGTTGGTTGGGCTCCTTGTGGTGGAACCTACCCACCCGGGTTCAAGTCATCGTCTTGGCACGGGTGCTCGCATTTTGCTGGATTTATTCCTGGATTTAACGGCGCTACGCTTTTAGTGGTAGGCGACGTCCCCGTCGACAACGAGACGTCTGTGGTGACTTTATGAATCTCAAAATCTGTTGGCTGAGTCCTTCGAAGGTGCTTATAGAGGTAGGGTTTGCGTACGTGTGTTCATAAGGGTGAGTGTGCGTGCATGTTGTGGACATGTGCGTTGTACTGTGCAGTCTAAAAAAACCTTTGTCTCAAGATCAATCCTAGCATAGAGCACACACCTTAGCATAAATAAAGCTTAGGCCAAACCCTATCTCCCATAGTTTATCTCGCACCTAAGTTATGCACAAGCACCCCTACGTATTCTCAACTCCCAACCTCGCCTAGATCACCCCCACACTAACCCCAAGAGTTACTTGAACACCCAAGCAAAACACATAACACAGTTTCCATCGACGCCTAACAGACCATCCCGTAGCGTGCTTTTCTTCACCTCGTGTGAATGCACTGAAGAATACCCGGCTGCTCAAATTTCAGTACATCTAGCAGCCTGTTCGGTTGACTGATTCGTATCGTTGCTGGTTCGTTTATGTGAGAGAGAAATACTGCTGACTGATTCATGTGAATAGTGTCCATGTGAGGGGGCCAGCCAGCCAGCCAGCCCCAGCCGAACAGGCGCTAGAATTCTAGATATCTTTTTCAAAAAGGACACAAACTTGAGGCTGTTGTTCAGTGCTTGATAGGTAAAACGACATTTACTTTTGATGACAATTGACAAAAGTAATTCTGACTGAAGGGAATACTAATTGTAGTAGATGGAAATGAACAGTTACAGTTGACCAAATCACGTGTATTTACATCTTGAGACGCTGAAAAGAATTCTTCTCCCCCTAAGTTAAAAATGGTCATAGACGTAAAAAGAATCTGTGAGGCATTAATATCAGCAACCTAAATCATCAAGACTTCTTCCCTTTGCTCGTCTTGGCCTCATGTTAATCTTGATAGAGCACTTTTGCGAGAGATGGGGCAGTGAAGACACGAGGAGAGCCTGCAGAAGGAATTACCGCGCTACTAAATTTCAGATCAATCGTGTGACAGAAGCATGCGCGTCTGAACAATACCACAAAACATTATGCTGCAGGCAAATACCTTGCGTGTCATCACGGACTCGATTCCTTCCCGTAGCACAATGTCGGTGTAGTTAGTTCCAAATCTACAATCCAGCGAAAACTGCAAAAAAGGGGTTAAATTTCAGAAAACAAGCAAAGAACTTCAGATGATGTAAGTACAAGACAGTTGTTTTTTTTTTTAAAAAAAAAACTTTGAAATCACTACATAGAAGAGAAGAATGTGCGTGGAGTCAGAACCTGAACTTTCGGAAGAGGGAAGTTCATGATGTGCGTCCGGGCGTCGATGCGCCCGGCGACCCTGATCTCCATGTAGCTCCTCTGCGCCGACAGCTCGCTCACGAGGAGCCGTGTCACGTTCCGCTGCGCGAGCACGGCGTGCATGAGCACCGTCACGTTGGCACTCCGCGGGGGCTGGTAGAGCGCCGGCACGTCCATGGCGCCCACCGACTCGTTCGCGTACGCCACGTCCAGCACCGTCGCGCCGTACCGTATCCCGATCCCGTTCAGGTTCTGCGCCGCGAACACCAGCGACGCCACCGCGCACGGCGCCGCCGTCCCGTCCGCGCTGCGGTTCGACGACGTCAGGCTGAAGGACCTGTCCATCTGGATGGACTGCAGGTAGAAGGCCGGCTTCTTGAGCCTCGTGACGAAGAAGGCGAGCAGCGCGGCGGCGACGGCGAGCAAGAGGGTGAGCGATAGGAGCAGGTAGAGGCAGAGGCATCTAGCTGAGTGAGGAGGAGGACAGTGGCCGTAGCTGCTCTCCTTGTCGCGACACCCACGCCAGCTGCTGCTGCTGCTACCGCCACCATGATCCATTGGTAGCTGCTGCAGCATTTACCGGCTAGAGGAAGCATGGTTCAGAGGAGCAAGAATGCAAGATGCATTTATATGTTTTCGTTTGCACACAAAACTAAGGGAATGCAAGTTGCCTTTATTCCTTCCGTGAAAAGTCTGTGTGAATCTGAGATCCTTGAAGGAGAAGACGGAGCATCACTTCGACGGGCAGCTACGCATGTGGCTGCTCAACTCTGATATCCGGCCTAGTATTGACTAACGTAGCCTTTGTTTGAAACAGGGAACATTTTCGTTCAATCGAAATCAAAATGTTTTCTGAAATTACTACAGACTCATGCACGTCAGATTTGTTTAGATCTGTTTGATAGATATTTTCCTTATTTTTTCTATTTCTCAAACTATAGAAAGTATTATGTGCTAATAATTATCCGGATCAACGGTCCACGGTTATTTGAGAGTACCACAAAACCCAACAAAGTTTTTCTTTAGCTCAAACCCAACAGAGTTTGTGTTGCATAGTGCGATGTTTTAAGGCCCCGTTTGCATACTAGGGGGCTAAAGTTTATTAGCCCATCACATCGGATGTTTAAATGCTAATTAGAAATATTAAACATAGATTAATTATAAAACTAATTAATTAGAGGGCTAATTGTGAGATGAATCTATTAAACATAATTAATCCATGATTTAACAATATGGTGCTAAGATAAACTTGTGCTATTGATGAATTAATTATGCTTAATAGGTCGGAAAACGCTCAACCATGGGGCTCCCAGTCCTGCCACCCTCCTGCACAATCAGCGGACTAGCCTCTAAAAAAGAAAAATTCTCCACTAGGGCTATGGTGTCCTCCTCAGCTGCTCCAAACCTCTCACCACACCGCACCTCCGGCCAATCCCACCGTCGCAAGGTCCCGTAGCAGGGCGCTCTCTCTTCCCCGCTCCCTCCCCAGCATAAAGCACCTGCTCCGACATCTCTCCCGCATGGCCGGGCCCTTCCCGCACTGTTCCTTCCCACGAGGCACCTAGCCCCTTCCCTTGTAGCTCCGCGCCGCACCACTATCCAGCGCCGCACCCCCATCCACCTTGCCCGTCGCGGAAGGGGAGGCAGGGGAGGACGCCTGCGCCTGTGCCCCCATCCACCTGCGTCGTTGGTAGGAAAGGGAAGCTTGCGCCATCGCATTTCCCCAACAGGTAGGCCATTAGCCACCGCCAATGCTGTGTTTTTCAAGTGTTTTCAGGCGGTTTCAGACATATTGCAAGTCTATGTTTGAAGTATTTCAATTGTTTCATATGTATGTTTTAAGTGTTTCATACGGATGTTGCAAAAGGAGATCGGGATGCTGCACATGTTGTAATAGCTATACATGTATGTTTCTAAGTGTATGTTCCAAATGTTTCATTTGTTCCAGACGAATGTTGCAAGTGTTTTATCTAGATGTTGCAAAAGTAGATCTGGACGTTGCATATACATGCATGTTGTAAGTATATGTTTCAAGTGTTTTTAAGTGTTTCATATGTATGTTTGTAAGTATTTCATCTAGATGTTGCATATGTTTGCAATGGTTTTCAAATATTTTTCAGGTATTTTCGCAAGTGTTTCATCTGTCTACTTTTGTATGTTACAACTATTGCATCTATATATTTTAAAAGTAGATCGGGGTGTTGCACATGGGATGCGCGTGGGAAGCAGCCAGCAGCGCGGGCCCACTACTGGTGCGCTCGCTCGTGAGCCCGACACGCCAAAGGCTCGCTCACTCCCTGTGTCGGGCGGCGTCTCGACGCTCTAGCAAGTCCCTAATAGATTCGTCTCATGAATTATTTATGGTTTCTACAATTAATTTTATAATTAACGCATGTTTAGTCCTCTAATTGTACGAGACAAGGGCCTCAAACACCCGCTAACTTGCCAAGGAGAGATGTTGGCATGTAGCGCGCGTCGGGCTTGGTGCCCAAGAGGCATATATTTGAGGTTGCTTGGCTGGTGGACCGAAGAGGGGTAGTATAGAACTTCGAAACTTCTACCGTAGAAATAGTAGACGGCAACGACTAGGAGTTTTCGTAATAACTACGGAATATAATTGCTTTTTTAGAACAAGTATATGTATGATCGGGGGGAGTATGAGATGAGTTGGAACAAGTCTAAACTTCTGCTAGCCGATCCACTCGTGACACCTTGCAACTCGGTCGCAGCCTTCCTATTTTGACGCAGGGTGCTCTTATTACCGCCGTCTGGCGACCCCAATCTGTAACCTCGAGAAGCTACAATGGAAGGAGGAAAACCCCACCACGGTCACCAGCGTCAGTCGGAGGAGGAAGCTGTCGCCGCCGCCGGGGACGTCGTGGAGGAGCGCACGCAGGCGCTTCCCGTGCAGGAGGAGGTCATGGAGGCGGCTGGTGACGCAGATCATCAGTTTGATTTCTTTGTCGATTCCATCGCCGTCGGCGAGGCCTTCGCGCACGCCTTGCAGATGGAGGAGCTGGCCGATGTGGAGGTCTGGGACCTGGTGCCGCCCCGCGCTGAAGGACCGACGACCGTCCACGCCGCGCCGGCGGGATCACAGGCCGTCACTCATCACTTCTTCCCAGCAGGGCCGCCCGTCTTTGACGACGACGTTGCCGGCGCCGCCCATGCCGACGCGAACGTTCACCACCAGGTAGCCGGCGCTGTGCCACTTCCACGCCACGTCCCGACGCGCCTGAGAGGTAACCAGCAGGGCCAGGACGTCGACATGCACGAAGAACCATCCGACTCCTACCAGGAGCTCCACGCCGCCGCGGCGGGTCTGCAGATCTTCGCCGCCGCCCAGGCCCAGCTCAATATCTCTGTCGTCGATCGTGCAGCCCGGGCCATTGCCGCCAACAACCAGCAAGCCGCCCCGGCCAAAGCCACCAACAACCAGCATGCCGGCCCGGCAGCGGCAGGAGGCGCCGACCGACCCTCGGTCCCGCAGCCGCAAGAAAGAGGTGCTGGTCACGTACTGTCCTCTGCATACACCTCGAGAGGAGCATCCGCCCAGGGTTTAAGACGCCGTAGGCAGCAGCCCGTTGGTGGCGGTGAAGCGATAACCCTCCGTTTGGAAACACGGGCTGCCGCACAGGCGACGTCGCGGACCGTTCCCGGTCCCGGCAAAGAAGATATCATCTCGGCAAGACAGGCCATGCTTGCCGACGCCGCTCATCAGTCCCCGGTCATCCTCGCTGTCGTAGAGGAACAAGAGCATGGCAACAGCTGGTACGACTCCCTCCTCCACGAAGCTCAGGTGATGGAGGCGATGAATGAGCCGGGACTCCATGATGAAGTACCTTTCTTCCAGCAACAATTTCCAAGATTCGACGAGGAGCCCAGGGAGGAACCCGGCTCCAGTCCCCCCAAGAGATTGCTCGTCGTCCACCCTTCTGATCTCGACCTCGACGAGGCAGGCCCGTCGACGACTACGCGGCCGAGGGTGCTCCCTCTCGCCGACGAGGAAGTGCCCAAGTTCGACTGCGGCATCTGCATGGAGACCCTCCCCATCCTGGACCTCTTCCACGGCATGCAGTGCCAGCACAGGTTCTGCGTGGAGTGCATGGCCACGTACATCGAGGGAAGGATCAATGCCGGCGAGGTGCCGATCCCGTGCCCGGACCCGGCCTGCCCGGAGGTGTACGAAGAGGACATCGCCGTCCTGCACCCCGAGGTGTGCAAGAAGTCCATCGACTTCGCCGCGTTCACCAGCTGGGGCGACCGCCTCACGGAGCGCGCCATCCCGCCCAACCTGCGCGCCTACTGCCCAAACCGCCAGTGCGCGCGGGGTGCTGCTCGAGGCCACCGGCGGCAAGACGCCGGCCAAGGCGTTTTGCCCGGTGTGCAGCCACCCAATGTGTGCCACGTGCGGCTTCGGCTGGAGCCATGATGATGTTGATGGCAGCAGCCAGCACGACTGCAATGAAGGCCCGAATGCCGCGCTTCTGCAGAAGCTCGCCGAGGAGCGTCGGTGGAAGCAGTGCCCAAGATGCAAGTTTCTTGTTGAAAAGATCGATGGGTGCGATTTCATGCACTGCAGGTACTATATATATACTCAATCTTATCCTATTTATTTGCCTCAAGTTAACTATTGTTATTTTTGTTTATACTCAAATTAATTGTTGCATCATGAATACTTTGCGTTTACAGTTTAGCACTTGATTTGGTAACTACTCGTACCATTATTGTTAGCGCTTGTTTCAACGAAACTCGTACCTAAGTGAAAATTTTCTATCTTTTACTATCATTTTTTAAAATTTGCATAACTTAATAACATAACATTTATGTTTTTAGATCTAACGTGAGAATACTTTTATATAATATAATTCACATGTGTGAAACTACATGGTTTTTTTTTTGAAATTGATGGTCAAAGTTAGTAATATTTGTGAATGGGCCTGTGGTCCAGTGGTAGTACAGTCCAGTTTCCCGCGCACTGGAGGCTGGAGAGCAGCGGCGGACCCAGAAAATATATTCAGGGGGGCTAAACAACACTGTTGTTCGATCTTAAGTCTCAGCCCCTCTACACGAGAGAACTTTGTCTAAAAATTTATGGGGGCTCCACAGGGGTTCCACTGCTGCGATATGGGTAGGAGAGCCCCCCCCCCCACCGCTGTGTCCGCCCCTGCTGGAGAGCCTTCCAATCTCTTCTTTGCGTGTGTACGGACGCACACGCGTGTGTGTGCGTGTGGTGTGAGTGTGTGTGTGTGTGGGTTGTGTGTGTCTAAAGTTGTACCCGATAAAAAAAAGTTAGTAATATTTAGCTTAAACAAGCCTAATACGACATATAAAAAAATTGAAGAGAGACATCCGAAAAAGCTTATATTATAAGCTCTTTGTTCCAAATTATAAGTCGAATTTATCTTTTTTTTGGTATATTGATTTTTTTTATGTATTTAGGCATACATTATATCAAGATACATAACAAAATTGATGTATAAAAAAAGGCAAAGCGATATATAATTTAAAACGGAGCGAGTAGCATTCAAATTTACCAAACTTGAATTAAAATAATCCCCTCCTGTCCAACCTATAGCTTCCGGGGTCCTTGAAACTGAAACAAGCTCTGATTAATAAGTCATCCATGGGTATTTCACACCTCTCTTAATCTGTCTTAATAAAAAAATTAAAACGGTAAGCTCGTTTTCCCTGTGAATAATCCAAACAGAGCGAATCATCGTAATTTTAGAATTCATTGATCTTTACTTATTATATAAGAAAACCGATCACTTTGTTCGACAAGGCAAAAGATTTTTTTTGTTTCTTCAATGATATTCGCATCATCAGTCATCACACCTAGCTGACGACGTGTGCACGATATCAATCTGAAGTCATGGGATGGGGTGTGAACTCCCACCATCCAGGCTTGAATCATCTTCATCTCCAATCTGATACCTATTTGTTCTTACCTATGATTACGTTTAGTTTCTCTTATTAGGTTGGTGTGTTTCAGAATATATGAACTCTTATTATCTAAAATAGTAAAATCCTGAATTTTGATTTGAAAGCTAGTTGTTTTTTTATTCATATATATTATCATGATTTCTAGTACTATACATTTTAATATTTTGATCTTGATTTCAATGTATGGGTCTTAAAGATCAGTATAACCCCTTGCACTAATGTTTATGATCTGATGGTGCCCGAAGGTGCAAATTCGTCTTCTGCTACGGCTGCGGTCTTCCGAAGGGAAGGCAAACAGGGATGGAACAAGGCGCCGAGCTGTGCCGGTGCCGCCAACAAGATGCTGCCGTCAATGCTGTCCTAGAGCATTTCCAAATCATTCTTGAGCACGAGTAAACTGCGCCGCCTGGGAGCCACATATCTCACTCTCGTCGAGAGGGAAGGACGGCGACATCTGACGAAAGACGAATCCTCCAAGTCCGAAAAACTGTTATTGGTTACTTGCAGCACCTCAATTATGTATTAAACTTATTTAGGGCAAAATAAAATTATACAATATGGTAGTGATCGTTTGGCTTGCATAGCCCCATTTTGCATTGATGAGTTAATGTTTGGTTGCACATGCGGGTTGAGCATTTGGGACTGCACAAGGTTATGCAATAGACTCGTCGTATTTGGTTGCCGTTATTCGTCATATTCGTTTGAGCTTGTTTGGCTTATAAGCCGTACTTTTTCAGCCAACGAATAATATTTTTCTCTCACACAAAATCAGTCAACAGTACTTTCAGCCATGGTTTATTAGCCAAACAAGCCCAAACAAACAAGACGATTCTTTTAGGTCGGTGTGTTCACCTAGCTTGGTTGTGTGATGATCTTACCAATCATATGAAAATAGCGGAGCTTTGAGCTTGTAACAAATGAGCACTGCTTCAATACCTAAAATTGACTGTCATTTTTAATCGGTGGTATCATGATTTTTGTTTTAGTAAGTACAATCATTTTATATTTGAAAGCAAAAGGGGCACATGCATTTGCAAACGTAACTACATTAATCACCGATTGAAAATGTTTTTAGGGGAATTTAAACAATGTTTTCCTAAACGGTAAACGGTCTTTACACGGTCGCCCTTCGTTTAGCGTTTAGGCTGTTTACACGGTGTTTAAACAGAGTTAAACGGTCTAAACGGTTTTGTATTTTTTATTAAAAAAAATACATATAATTATATATGTACATGTAAAAAAATCAAGTATTCTAGCATTTATACATATTTATCCGAGTAAAAATTAATTATTTTGGTATGTATATATATTTATGCATGTGAAAAGAACCAAATATAGATATTTATGCAAATATAAGTGTACACATTTATAAATATAATAAACTTAAGTATATAAATTTTACAAAACTTAGGCAAATTTAGCCCGTTTAATCTTTGTTTATCTCCGTTTCGTTTAGGCCGTTTCAACCGTTTAAATGGTCAACCGTTTAATTTTCGTTTACCCCCTAAACAAAACAATTTACCACCGTTTACCGTTTACTGGCCGTTTAAACGGCCGTTTAATCCGTTTAGGCGAACACTTTCCATCACTCAACTATGTAAGCGAAATCGCTTGACACAAGAGACATAATATAATTCGGCACTCCGACCAACACTGAGGGCATGCCCTCATTGCTCATACATCCTATCAACGCAAAGTTCATGTGCTACTCTGTTACATTCACGTGGAACATATTTCACTTGAGGAGAGCTAAAGTTTTCAGCTAGGAGTTCCTTCAGTTCTTGTACCATGCCTCCGACCGTCTGACAGTCTGAAGCCATTATCAAACAGAGCTTCGACAACTTGGGCTGCATCAGTTTCCAGGACAATCTCTCCCATGCTCAGCACTGTGGCAGCTTTCACCCCTTCTATACAAGCCCGAGCTCCATGTAATACCGAGAATACGTTTTGTGTGTTGCGAAGCGTAAAGTGGAAAAAAAACTTCGACGAGAGTTTTAATGAGTGACAAAAAAAATAAAATTTTATACATCGCTTAGATGGACAATCAGAGTAGAGCTCGTCAAATGCATTCCATTCGACTACTCGTACGCTTTGTACTGAATTCGGATCAAGAAACTACGAGCACAAGAAGATCCAACGGCAAAAAGGGATGAACAGTAGATCTACAGTACCCAACCACGGTCCTTTTCCGTGACTTTTCCCCTCCCTCCCCCACGAAACCTAGTTCTTTCATCCCTTTAGCCGCCGCCGCTCATACGCACGGGAGAAACAGAAGACGGAGAAGAGAAGAGAGGGAGGGGAATTAGGATTTGACCGCCGCCGAATCCGTTCTTCCTTCTTGACGGTAGGCCATCTTTTTCTCATTGCGTTTTGTCCTCAATTCCATACTTCCCCCTGCTGTTCGTGATAGCGATGACGCTTGTGGAGTAGATCGAGTCGACGAAAGGTGTAGTGGCGGGAATCGCTATGAGAGAGAAGGGAGATAGAAGGGCAATCTTTGTGGTTCTTCATCTTTCATGCTGTGGGGGTAAGATTTTGCTCTTCCCCACTGTTTTTCATTGGAATCCATGCTATGTTTTACTGAATTTCGTGGATTAGTTGACGGGTTAGGGTTATAATCTCAAAATAGGGCCCTGCAGTCTTTCAGGTTGTGCAGTCTGTGTTCATCGAATTTTTAGGGCATCTTAGTGGCCTCAATAATTTTTGCCACTGTTGATAAAGTTGTATAAGACTTCAACACCTTTCTTGTGACACCAAGATCACCATCATAACCCCAGTAGTTTGAGAGATATGGTCTATTTAAGATGGCTGTTTTTTCAGTGACGAGAATCATGATAGTTTTATGTATTCTCTGTTTTGACTATCTTAATGGACGATTTTGAACATATGATCTTAACAAGAGTTGTAGTGTTTTTTCTTAATCTTTCTAGATTGGTAGAGATTATAATTTTTGGACGAGTATAACTGCAGTTATATATTTTAGAAGTTTGCTGTCCTGTTTTGGTTGTCAGAAAGGTTCAGTTAAGTTCAGAGGTTATTTATGCCATGTTGGAGATCTCATATGCTAGCTTGTTTTATATAAAAGTTATAGATAATAGTGTTTTACATATTTTTTAAAAGTTCCATAATTTTTGTACGAGTAATTTATCGACAATGAAAATGCGAAACAGGGTTGCTGCTGTAGGTTGATTGTTCGGTTGTTGATTTAACGATGTTATGAATAGTAGTAGATTGATTCAGTTTTTGCCAATCTTAAAGGTTAAAATAGTCTTGGCAATAAATACCAAAGTTGTAGAGTTTCTGAGTCTCTTTCCAATGATGTATACTACACTATTATATCTGAAATATAGCTTTAGATGTATGCTTTTGAATTGAGTTGTTACTTTCTGCTGGCAGATTTTTGTGGCAGATTTTTGTAGTTGTTGGTTATATGCTGTATAAGGCTGCTTTTATGTGCTCTAAAATCATAGGGAAATAATATTGTGT